GCTGCAGTTAAGTAAACAATAAAAAGAAAGGCAAAGGCAACCACTTGGAAAACACCCACAATCATACAAGCTGCATATTTTCAGTTCTGCGGCTATCTTAGCAAGTAAATTCACTTTTGTCTCTCATTCTGCTTCATTCCAAGCATATCAATGTAGCCCATAGCATCCAGCTGACAAAGTGGGGTCTTATATTTAAAATCTCTAGCAAAAAAAGGCTGCAGGATTTTAAAGTTTGTGTAGAAGCAAATTAAAATGAAACAAAAAAAAATTATTAGCAGTGAAACTATTAGGTTTCCTTAACTGAAGTCAATCTTATCAAATCCAAGGACAAAATAATTGCTGTATGTACAATATTGATCCTCCTCTGTGCAAGAATCAGTGGTTGCTTATTAGAAAAGGATTGCAGCCATACTGATCAGATTGTGTTGTCTCGTGATAAGTGGGCATTCATTCACATTCACTTAGCATTATGATGTGTTGTGTTCTATCTCTTACAAGCTGGATATCGATAAAAGGCATGTTTCTCTGTCTGGACTCGAGTCATTTTTGTTTATTTGCATCCCACCTTTATTAATGTTACAAATAAGGCAGCAAACATATTCCACACATTTTCCTCTACCTATTTTCCCCACAACAACCCTGCAGGGTGGGCTGAGTTGAGAGAGTGACTGGCCTAAGATCAGTGACTGGTCTAACTGATCTTTTATGTCTAAGGTGGGACTAGACCTGAGGATTTGCTGGTTTCTAGTCTAGTGTCTTAACCACTAGATCAGTGGTCGCCAACCAGTGGGCCAGGGACCACTGGTGGTCCGTGAGAAAATTTTGGTGGTCCGCAGAGAAATGTCAACCCCAAAGCACCTCCCAAAGCAATTAATCCAGGCTGCATGGGAACGCAAGGCTACGCCGCCCACATGGCCCGTGGGAACACAAGGCTTGCGTTGCTTGCATTGTGAACAACACAAGATAGTGAGGGGAGGGGGGAAAGGGCAGGGGGGGGAAACTTGCCCCACGCACCTCACCTGGCCACCAGGCTGCTTCTTTCCACTTCTTTCTTCTTCTGTTTTTGGCTGCACACAAGGAAAGCAGCAAAAGTCTTTCTTTCTCACCCTCAAACTCAGCTAGAGATGAATCTTTAGGACCCTGCTAGGCATCCTGCTCCAAGAGGCTGTGCCAGTGTGACAAGTCTCACAAAGACTCATTTCTGGTGGAGTTTGGGGGAAGAGACTTCTGCTGCTTTCCTTGCATGAAGCCAAAAGTCTCTCTCCCCCGCCTCCCGAGAACGGAGCTGGAGACGGTATCCTGTGAACCCAAAAGAATAATCGATCGGTAGGAAAACAGGGTGGGGAATTTTCCTGCAGACTTTTTTGGGGGATTTTCCCAGGGTCTCTGGTCCGCAGGATTTAAAATTATGAGTTTGGTGGTTCCTGAGATCCAAAAGGTTGGCGACCCCCTGCACTAGACCAAACTGTCTCTGGTCATCAACTGCCTACCCACTTTTTAAAGTCATTTTATGTAGCTGATAAAACAGTTTGTGACTATCACAACTGATGCCCAAAGACACATATTAATGTAATCAACAACACTGGACTTGGTTTCCCTGCAACATGATTGTTTTTCTGGCATTAGTCAACTTGTGGAACTGAACTCATTGTGTGCAGATTGAGATCCTGCTCAACCATAAAACTTTTAATCTAGGCTACTTTGTTGCAGTATGCCAGACAATTTCCTTCCTCGTGACATCTAACCCTGACTCACAATGAGGAAGTGCACAGTGACTGCCTTCCCCTCCCAGACAAATATTGTCTCCTTTGGCTTGCAGTAGTTTTCCAAAATACCCAAGCACAGAATAATTGTTCAGATCCCAAGATATACAATACCCCCCAAAACCTCTTTCTTACTGGAATGTAGATTTGCAATTGCAGAATTCAAATAAGGCACTTCCATAATATAAAAATGTCTTATGGGAAGAACAGCTACTATAGTGATGATGATGTTTACACTATTTATATTTTAATATCTGGAATTTTTAAAAGCATTATTTAAAAGCATTATTTACCAGCCAAAATGTCAATTTCGACATAGTCTTGTTTGTAGGCTCCTGTGTTTCATCAATTCAAAATTTGCCAAACACACTATTATATTAAGTGCATATATTCATCTAATCAGACTTAGTTTCACTGCAACATGGTTTTTCCGGCAATTTCCGGGACTGAACTCACTACATGCAGATTGAGATCCTGCTCGACCATAAAAACTTTTAATCCAGGCTATTTTGATCAAAGCTTATTAGTGCCATCTCCAAGCGGCAAAAAGGCAAGCCTCCCCAGCTATCCCTTCTAGACCCCGTTTCCAAAGGGGGGAGGGGGAAAGGTGCACCACCGTAGCCCGCCAGAGGCGAGCCAAAGGCGCTCTGCACACGCCCAGAAGCCCGCCGGTTTCAGGGCCGGCCCAGGCGCGGCGCGCCGCCCAGCCACGCCATCTCTCCAGACCGCCTCGCGCTCCCCGCCCCCACTTCGTGCCGAACCGAGCGTGTCCTCCGCGCGCGCATAGGTCCCCTCCCCTTTTATCAGCTCTGCAGTTTATTTGCATAGCCCGCCCCGATTGGCTGGGCGGAAAAGAGGAAGGAGCGGAGGGGGAAGCCCGCAGGAAGGAGGAGGGAGAGGGGAGAAGAGAGAGAGAGAGAGAGAGAAAAGGGGGAGGAGACACCTTTGTTTCACAGCCTGGGTTTGTAAACAAGAGGAAGTCTAGACTCCCAGCTGGGGCTCTTCGCGGGGGGCTGCGGGTCTGTCGGCGGGGCGACTCCCCTCCCCAAAAGCAGCACCGAGCCACCATCCGACGCAGGTTGCTCTTCGGACAGGTGAGACGGGGGTGGCGGGGGGAAGGGCTCCAGGGAAACGGCGGCGTCCGTGGACGCGTCTTCCCCACGGCAGGTTGGCGGTGCGTGTCTGCCTGTCCCTCTGTGTATAAAAACACGCACGGGGGTGTGGATCATATACCCCCCCCCCTGCAAGAATGGAGGGAGGGTGGTGCAGTGGATACTTGTGGGCGCCTATTTCCAGTGAGTGACCCACTGGCCCCTCGAAAGGCGAACGGATCTGAATAGCTGGAGAAGGATGAAAAGGATTCCAGTGGATCCTTTTTCAGAGGATTCCCATTATTGTACCCTCCCTGACCACGCCAAAGAGGGCATTTCCTAGGATAACCTCATGTTCCTTTTGTTATTTCAGCAGGGGATTTATCTCCTCCCTTCGCGATGGCCGTATCTCCTCTAATCCCACAGGAAATGCTATAAAGAGGGACCCGTTTTCAAGAGTCACTAATTCGGGATCAGGTGGCATCCTTTATGTATTGAGCAGCCCGGGTTGCGTTTTGTCCTGGGGTGGGGGGGGATAGTTTCCAGCATAATATGGATAGGTAGCCAAACGAGTCATAACCACGGCACTGTTTATTAAAGCTGGTTTTAACCCTGGCTTGGTCTCACTGAGCAAGTAGATTTCTCTTTTTTCTCTGTCCATCAATCAAGAAATTTTTTTTTCCAGGTTGTGATGCTGCTATTTCAAACATTTTAATAGAGAGGGGGAATTTGGACTTCCAACTTTTCTTTCCATATCCTTCATTCTTCTAAAGTTCACATTTTAGGAAGTTTAAAAAGAGACAAGCAGGAAAATGTTTGCATGAGTGGCCCTACAATGTATATGGAAATATGAAATTATGGCCAGCTGTCCCTTTCTGGACTTGAAATAAAAATCTTGCCATTTACCTGTGACAGAAAACACAAACACATATTTTCAGTTTATGACTATCATCCCAGCCCTATCAACTGTTCCACCCTCTATATCCACCTCATCTTCTTCTACATGTATATTTCAAGCTTCCTGTTCAATAGTTATAACAATAAAGTGTGCAATATTTGTTATAATAAAAGGAAACCAAGATATTTCAGCTTTTTCTCATCTTTTTCTCTATTCCCATTTCTCTCTTATTAAAGGGTCCCCAATACCCTATTTTTGAGTGTGTTTCTATAGACACCTTGTAATTGATATATCAGATCCACTACATTTCCTTATATCAATATCATATGCCCATGTTTATTTCTTACTTGCTATACCAGAGTCAAATTGCTATATATAAACAAATCAGTATATTGTTCTTAGTGCACCATGTAACATGGCAATAGTAATCTTTTCCATTATCATAACAAGAGATAAGCTGAACACGTATTTATAGGGCTCACATATAAAACAAATCATCTTTTAAAAAAAAACCTTCTCATATCTGGTATATATTTTCCTCATCATAATAAAAGAAAAGCCCTATTGTCTTCTGAAATAAATGCACGAAAGGTAATATATGCTACCTTTATATGCTCCGCTTCATATGGTGTTCAGATAAAAACATACGTATTTCCTGTCCACATCCAGTAGAAAAATAATTAATAAATTGCCGGTAAACAAGATGCCTCCCTGTTAGTTATGGCTAGTATGTTTCTGTTGTCTCTTAAGACTGTTTTGGATATTGTTTAGAAGATAATCTCAGTTGCAACTGTTACTGGCAAATATGCCATTTATCAAGAAAAACAATATTTTTGTTACAGTTCCTTGGGAACTTTGATGGCATTTTAATAAGGTATATGCTTTTTCAAAATTATAAACAAATCATTTAACAAAAAGTTTATTTTTTTAAAAAACACTTTTGTTTTCTTCCTTTTACTTCTTCCTTTATTTTACTTGTCTAGCTATTTTTCATGTTCATCCTTCTTATATTTCTCTGTCATTATCCTACCAATAAATATTATGCTGTTTATTAAGAAGAACAATATTTTTATCATAGTTCCTTTGGGAACTTTATAAGGTAAATAGGTTGAGAGAGAATAATGCAATGTTATTTTAAAAAAATATTTTTCAAGAGTATAAACATTAAAAAAAGGAACTGTATTTTTAAAAAACTTTCTTCTTTATTTCCTTCCTTTTACTTCTTCCTTTATTTCTCCTGTCTAGCTACTCCCTGTGTTCGTGTTCATCCCTTGTTATATTCCTTATATTCCTCTGTTAGTTATCTTGCCAGTAATTTCTGTGATCACTAGATCCTTAGAGAAATTAGGGAGAAATTTAAAAAGATGGTGGGGGGAGACTCCCTATGCCACGGTGATGTAAGGTGGATAATATCATAGCCATAGCTTGCTTTAAAGCTTGCTTAGGAGGAAGTGAGAAAAAGGGAGAGAAGTCTCTTAAGTTCTCCCAAATGCTAAGACCTTCTTCTCCAAAAAATAAAAAAAAGCCAAAACACAAATCCAGCTTCCGGGTAAATGTAGGGAGTCTCAGCCAACATTTTTTCTGGATCAGCATTTCCTTGCCTGCCCAACTGGCTGGTTTGCTTCCCTTTCAAGGAAGCTGGTTTGCTTCCCTTTCTCCTCCTCCACCATGAGGTTCCAGGCAACCATTCCACCCACTCCCTTTGAAAACCAAACCTCCATCCTTCCTTGCAAAGATTCTCCTCTTGCCCGCCTCCCCTCAAATACCTCTCCAGCTGATTGGCTTAGCCCACTGTATTTTCTAGAAATCCCTTCGCTCTGCTCCTCCCTCTTCTCTCATCCTCAGGGCTGCTTTGTGTCTACCCCATTCTTCTGCAGCCAGCTGTCTGTCTCAAGTTGTGCCTTAATCTACAGGTATGTCTCCATTGCCTCTGGTTTGGCTGCACTTAAGTGGTCACTATTAGTGCCACACAATTCTTAAAGCTCTTTGTTGTGTTTCTCTAAAGCCCTTCCTTCCTCCCCCATCTCTGGGCATCACGTAACATAATTCTTCTGGATTCCTTCTATCCTCTTCCTGACTTAGTGAAGATCACTTCGTCATTTCACAACTCTGCTAATCTGTGACAAGCTGTTGATGTCTGTCACTACCCAGTATGCTTTCTAGACTTCACTGCTTTCTGTCTTGATCTTTCCCTTCCATCTCAACCAAGCAGATGTGAGTTTGATCTAGTGGTAAAGGAACCAGGCTAGAAACCAGGAGGCTGTGAGTTCTAGTCCCACCTTAGGTATGAAAACAAGCTGGGGACTCTGGGCCAGCCTCTGTTTCTTAGCCCAACTCACCTCACAGGGTTGTTGTTGGGGGAATAGGAGGAGGAAGGTATGTTTGGGTATGTTTGCTGCCTTGAGTGATTTGTAATAGTAATAAAAGGTGGGATGCAAATAAATAAAAATGTTCTGAGTCCAGACATACCTTGAGGTCTTGAGCTATTTATAAAAATAATAAAGGTGGGATTAAAAAATGTATCTCTGAGCAAGGGCCCATGCTGCAAAAGTGAAAACTGGTCATAGGTTTGGGGTATGTGGGTGGTTATAATACTTGACAGTTATGTCCACAGTCTGGAAACAGAAAACAGAAAGCTGAATGTCTGGTTTTACCAGAAAAGACTAGGGTTTATAGCAAGGGGTGTTCATGGTTGGAGAGGTGCTAGGAAAACCTAACCAGAAATTAATTGGAAGGGCAGCTTGGAAAGTTAAGGTGTTTGAGCATTATTCTATGGCAGTTTTCTTTCATCACAGGTGATCAGCTGTGACCTACATCCTGGGTTTAATTACAGGCTGAGTCTCCAAGAAGCTGCCGAGGGAGGGAGGGAGGGAGGGAAAGCACGTGGTATTGTTTTTGTTTAGAGACTGGTTACATAGAACCTGGCCAGTTCCCAGAGCTAAGAAACAAAATCTTGACATTCTGACTCTAGGTCTGTAAGCTACCACTTCTTGGCAGGTTCTCTGTAGGTTTGGTGATCCTCCTCTTCCTCTTTTTTTAGGGCTTTCATCTGCCCCCTCCAGCATCTCCTTCAGGAGCTCTTTGGTTCTCCGCAACTCTCCTGTAGCTTTTCTCCAGGCGTGACTCCCACCACAATGGTGAGATTGTCCAAACCCAAAACTTTTCAGGCCTATCTGGACAACTGTCACCGTCGCTACAGTTGTGTGCATTGCCGGGCCCACCTGGCTAATCACGACGACCTCATCTCCAAGGTACGAAAAAGGGAATGAGATACCCCTGCTACACTCCTCTAGAGAAGCATCCAAGGAAAAGGGGTTGCCGTGCCTTGGTTAGCTCATGTTGTTTTTTAAAAAAAAGAAAAGTATAAAGCGGTTTATTACCAAAAGAGAATGTAATACAGAAAGGAAACAAAGAGAGGACAGCTTATCTTATATCCCACTGTAAGATTACTACTGTAAATTTTCTGTGTTCCTTTAAAATTTGTCAATCTGTCACAAGTACAGGCAGTCCTCAGCTTACAATCATTCATTTAGTGAGCATTTGAAGTTACAACAGCACTGAAAAAAAATGACTTGAAATGCTTGACAACCACCAGTAGCATGTACTTACGGTGGCTGCAGCGTCCCAAGTCACGTGATCATCATTTGCAACTTTCCCAGATGGCTTCTGACAAGCAGTCAAATGGAGGAAGCCAGGTTAGCTTAACAGCCACATGATTCACTGGTCCCAATTGTGGTCATAAGACGAGGACTAGCTGTAAGTCAGTTCAGGGTCAGGGTCAATAATGTCTTAAATTTTTTTTTACCCTATAGCACTATTAATGTTCTAAGTTAAATACAGAGGTTTGGGAGTATGGATTATAAATTAATATAGATAAGTAAGACAAACTCTGGCTGGCTTGGTGCATTGGAGAAATCACCATCTCCCAAGGAAACCACAGTTTAAATCTGAAAGCTTCTCCTCTGGGAATAATACAGTTAAAAACAGGAAAAGAAGTGGGGGGGGGGAGGAGGAGAGGGACTCCAAGCAGCAGCTGCTGCCAATTGCAACATCACGTCTCTTTCCAGAGCCACTTTTACTGATGCCACAGAATTTCTGAGCGGTAAAAGATGGGGCATTATTTGGGACTAGAAGAAGGAAAGGGATGAGGAGAAGGGCAGGGGAGGGGGCTTGTGGGGGGTGTTTATAAAGGGCAATGAGTTCTTTCTCCCTTGGCTTGTCCGCTACCTGCACCCTAGTTCTCAAGAATACAAGGTCAATAGGCCTCAGCTGCAGCTGATTAATCATTAAATTCAGTTTCATGGGTTTGAAAGCAAACTAGAGCATAAACAAGGAAACGGGGAAGAGAGTCTCTGGCCGCTTGCCACCAGCCAAGCGGGAGGGGAAGATAAGCAGCTGGTCTAGAACCAAAGTCTACAGAAGATGATAAGCAACTGAGGCAGGCTGAAGGGCTGCCCCTGAGATTTGGGTTCCCAAGGTTGGGAGGGAGACAGAGTGACCAGCGGGAGAAATAACTCTAGGAAGTATTCAGGGTTAGGTGGAGGCAGGTGGGGGGGGGGGGGGGGGGGGGGGGGGGTAGGAAAGCATCCTGCTTTTGGTCTATGTCCTATTCTCCCTTTTGTTACAGTCTTTTCAAGGAAGCCAAGGACGGGCCTACCTCTTCAACTCTGTGTAAGTATCACAAGAGAGGAGCGTGTTTTGGAAGGGGAAAAAAAATATATATGCTACACTCAGGTTTTCCGTCTCTATGGCATGCGTGCCACAGGTGGCAGGCAGACCCCTCTCTGTGAGCGCGCGCACCGTCACCCCAGCTCAGCTCCACTGTGCATGTGTGCGCACCTCCTGCCAGCCAGCTGGTCTTGGAGTCTCTGATGCACACACGCATGCGTGAGGCGCATGCATGTGCATGAGGCATGCGCACGGGTCACACAAATGCACCTAGGTGCACCTTGCATTTTGGGTATGCGCGCACACGTGCGCTTTGGCCACTTGGTGCCCAAAAGGTTCGCCATCACTGTCATGGGACCTTTAGCTGTGTTAAGTCAGTGGCCCCCAACCTTGGCCGCCCATCTGGAGGGGAAGAAGGGAACTGGGCCACATGAGTGGTGGGCTGGGCACATGCATGCATTCAGCCTTTGCACAAGTGGCAGGCGGCAGGCACAAGCGTGAGTGCCTAATCGCCAACCACTTACGAAAGTTGAGCTGCGCATGCGCACTCTGGCTAGCCAATCACGCGGCCCAATTTTGAACAGGCCGTGGCCCGGTAGTAGGCTGTGGCCCAGGGGTTGGGGGGCCTCTGTGTTAAGTGGCATCATCTGCGGCCAGGACACGTGAGATGGGAGTTTTAATTTACCATCAAAAGAGCAGCAAGTCCCTGCTATATCCTAATTCTATGTCTGAATGCCCACTGAGCTGGTAACGCCTCTTGTCCTGCTACACTACATCTTCTATAAGGACTCACAGACTCAGTTCATAATCCCTTTGCTGATAAAGTATCTTAGAAATGCTTGTCTTTTTTATGTGCAACTACTGTTATCAGAACGGTATGAAGTAGTTTCTCTGAACACAGCCAAATTCTGCTATGCTGTATGTAAAATTAGGCAAACTTTAGCTGCCCATTGTTAATCCACTACCAATTGCAATGTATTATTCTGTCTGTCTTTTTATTTTTTTGCTACTATTGTTTCAATGTTTTTATTATGTGACCGTAATAAAGATTGATAGAGGTAGTATTTAGTCAGTACTAGTATCTACAGCAGAGAGGACTTCATTCAACCAAATAATCCTCTACTGAGAGAAATCTAGCCACCTGAAAGAAAAGATCTCACACTGAAATCCTTCCTCCACCATTGGGGCGTCCATACCTTGAAGGACCAGCCGAAGAGACAATCGCTCCTTTTTAATGGGGTCTTAGCTGAAGCAGAGGAAAGCAGAAGCAATTAAGCTATTAAGATAGCAGAATAAGAGAAGGTGGGAATAGGTTTCAAGTAAAAGATAACCTATTAGGGCTAATCTCCTTCTCCCAAAACAATCAACCCAGCAGGAATGTGTGTGTGTGAGGGTTAATTTAGATAAAATTCAAAGACATTCAAAGGCCTTCAAAGTAAACTGAAAATACTTCCGGACTATGGCACATCATTCCAAACTGAAACTCACACCAAGGTTTAAGGTTATTTCCCAGTGATCGCATAGGAATGAATGAATTCTGCAAGTGAATTGCAGGAACCAGGTATTCATAAGTTTTTGCTATTTTGATAGCAGAACCACAGCTGGAGGTTAACCAGGCCCTGTCCTAACAGATAGGCTCTTGTTTGTGTCTGTGCATTGCACTTTCATCATAAGGTTAGAAACTATTTTTGGTTTCCTTTCTCCCCAGCTCCAGCACGTCTCTGTGGTACTGTATTTCAAAAGACCTTAGTAGACCCCAAAACAGAAACCCTGGCCCTCCTTTCCACATGGGGGGTTGTGGGCTGTCCTCCCTCATTGGGAGTTGTGCTTCTGAAGCCACCGAGTGACTCTGAAGCTGGACACAATCCAAATCTATCTTCATATCCAGTTTTGGGGGGAAAGTTTTGGGCTTGTTCTTATCCTGGTGTGCTTCCAAACCAAACTAACAGAACTGGGGAAATCAAATCCCACTTTTCCCCCTCACCTGAAGACCAAACCCTGGGCTTTGTCAAGCACCCACAAAGGGGAATAGAACCATTGTTCTGGCAGCAATGGGTCAAGCTCTTAAGAACAATCCCACTGATTTCATTTCATCCCTTGATTGATTTCCATGGCTAGCGATTTCAAGGCAAAGTAGAACTCGTACTGGGAAAACGATTAGGACAGATGGGCCCTGTTAAAACTAACAAAACTTGTGTTTTGTTTTGGCTCCGTACAGAGTGAATGTTGGATGTGGCCCAGCAGAGGAACGTGTTTTGCTGACGGGCCTGCATGCTGTAGCTGATATATACTGTGAAAACTGCAAGACCACCCTTGGATGGAAATATGTGAGTCTCCTGCTTTGTGCCCTCCTCTCCCTCCCTCCGTAAAAATAATTGCACCACTTAATAGTTGGCTTCCACCCATATCATTCCTTTCTCTTCTTCTTCTACAGGAACAGGCCTTTGAGACTAGCCAGAAATACAAGGAGGGCAAATTCATAATTGAATTGAACCACATGATTAAGGACAATGGCTGGGATTGAAAGACAACCAGCATCTTTGGACAACTGTATGTAGGGGGTGGAGCCTAAGAAATGTCAAATTTCCACCAAACCTACTTCTACCTTCTCAACCATTGGATTGCCATCCCAGGCACCTCCAGGGGCACCTGAGTTGTGAAGGAGGAGGTGGTGCTCCTGCCAGAGACACATACGCACAGCTCAGACATGTTAAATTCCTGTGGCAAAAGGTGGAAACTCCGGAACACCTTTAGGTCAGGGACTGTGTGCAAGTAGGACTACGGCTGGCTCTGTTGTCCAGAGAGTCTGTATTAAGAGAAATACGGAGGGGAAATGTACACTGTGAGGGGGAAGGGAAATGTTAGGCGTGTACAGTACTTGTGTGTGTGTGTGTGTGTGTGTGTGTATGTATTATATAAATAAAAGTATTGAAGTGATGGAGGTGTGGGGTTTTTTTCTTCCTTCTACAGGAGGGTAGTTGGTAGATTAAAGCAAGGGAGACAATACAAGTTCCTTGGGCTGCTCCCAGCTTAGCTAATTAAAGCTACGGCTTGGATGTTTTATTTCTGTCCAGTTACTCTGAAACATTCAATATATTCTGTGAGCAGAAAACCAGCAAACCAGGATTTTTAAGCTGTTTCACTAGCCGTACATTGATTTTTTTCCTCTAATTTATTAGATTTTTATCCAACTTTTATTATTTTTTATAAATAAGGCAGCAAACATACCTTATGTTCCTTCTTCCTCCTATTTTCTCCACAACAACAATCCTGTGATGTGACTGGAAAGAATGATTGGCCTAAAGTCACTCAGCCAGCTTTCATGCTTAATGCAGAACTAGAACTCATGGTCTCCTGGTGATTGGCCCAAAATCACCCAGCTGGCTTTCATGCCTAAGGCAGCCCTAGAATTCATGGTCTCCTGATTCCTAAGACAGTACCTTAACCACTAGACCACATTGGCAATGTATTATTGCAATATGCCCATAATGCTGATTGAGAAGAAATTGTCTCTAAGCCTAGGGAGAAATGTAAGTCACCATCTAGCATTTAACTACCTTTCCTCCAGAATATTAGTTTGAAGACCAATTTCCATATTTATTAAGTTTCATTTCCCAGCTGTGGGATAGGTAAGGAGATTATTAATACAGCTCAGAAAACACAAATGAAGTAATTTTCTGAAAATAAAAATAATGTGCTAAAGGAAGAAAATTATGGATTAACTTTACCCAGGCTTTCTCTGGAGCAGGCTAAAGCCAGCACAGCTGAAAGATTCTGCAATAACTAATCATTGTTTTTAGAGCTTCTTTGGTAACAGTATTAAATCGATTTAGTCATCAGCCTTATCCTTGATTCATTACTGATAATTGCTGAGTGCAGTTACAAGAATGCCCTGTGGGAAGCTTTCACATATTTTAAAGGGTGTTCTCCAAAACCATCCCTCTGTGGTTGGAGCATTTTTCCTTTCTGTTTGGATAGCAGGGCTAATGGTGAGAAATAACAGAAGTCAAGGCCACAAATAGCTGGAGGGAGAACAGATTAATTGCCCTGGCTTATGACAGCAGTTCTTCCAAAGGGATGCTGCCTTCAGTTCAGATTCCTACTGTTGGAAGAAAAATCTGGTCCAGTTCCAAGACGCTGGAAGAAAGATGCTGGAAATAAAAAGGAGGCAGGCTGCAAGAAAGGAAGTCTGTTTATTTGGTAGCCAGGAACTAGTGACAGCAGCATGTTTCTGGGGTGGCTGACAAAATGGGGGTTGAGAGTAGGTGGGTTTTTATACATTCTTTGGGGTTTTGTGTTTGAGATGCCTGTTCCTTTCTAAGAATGTGATCTTTAATGTTTTAATGGCTGCTGCCAGATTCCTATGGGGTCATGTAAAGGTCATGATTGGTTCTACAGGCAAAAGAAGAAATGCAAATCCTAGGTGTTTGTCTGAGCTAATCTTGTCAGCTTTGGCTGACTCCTAATTTGGAGTTTCTTTGCTTAATAGATTGGCCCTGCCCAGTCCTTTCCGCCTTTGTTAAGATTTTTCTCCATTTCTCCTTTAGGGGAAATATTATCTTCTGCCTTTTTCAATATTAAGAATAAAGAATATTTTAATCAGGGGGAGGGAGTGGAAGGGCTTCCTACACTACCAAATTAACCTGGAACTCAGTGCTCACTATGATTCCTCTATGCATTTTCTAGAATTTTATTGGTTCATTCCAATTTTAACCCCAGTCCAGTATGCCTTCAAACTTCAACTAGGATGTAACATTTCCAACCCCAGAAGATTAAGATTAAGCTGCTGTACAATATAGGTAGAGGAGAAATTGAGAGGGAGGATAAGTAGGTAGTTTTTTACACCTTGTATTGTCAGCAAAAGGATTTGTTTCTGAGGCATGCAATACAAGCTGCATAAACGCCTGATGACCTATTTTAGCCACTTACAGCTCTTATACCTCAAAACGGTATTTCTCAACGTCTCCCTCTTCTGGTCATAGAATAACCTTGCTCTAGTTATGGATTAACCTACATTTGTCATTTGTAAATCCAGTTGGACTACTTCTTACAATTACACCATCACATTACACAACACAAAGAACGATTAAAATACCGCTTTATATAGCCCAACATTCTCCCCTTCATGGGCATAATTTTATAATTTACCTGTTTTGAAAATTGTGCAATGGCAGCCGAAAAAGCTAATGTAATCCTTGGTTGTATAAACAGAGGCATAGAGTCAAAATCACATGAAGATTAGTACCACTTTATAAATTCTTAGTAAGACCACACCTGGAATATTGCATCCAGTTTGGGTATTACCAGAAAAATGTTGAGACTTTGGAAAAAGTGCAAAGAAGAACAACTAAGATGAATAAGGGCCTGGAGACAAAAACATAGTATTCCAGTATTAGAGGGGCTTGAAGCAAGACTGTCTGAATCAGATGCAATTAAATAAGATTTCCACTAACTCTGAATTAAGAAAGATGCAATTGCTTAAGAGGAAAGGGAGTATCAATTCCTTGTTTTTAGGGCTTGGATGCTCAAAGAGGACCATTCTGATGGCCATTGCCCATTTCTCATCTGTTTCACCTGCACATAAGGACATGGCTGTCCTACAACCGTTCTTCATATGTTTTTGTCTCCAGGCCCTTATTCATCTTAGTTGAGAGTGGATGCTGCGATGGTCATAAGTGTGAAAATGGTCATAACTCACTTTTTTCAGTGCCTCTGTAACTTTGAATGGTCACTAAGTGAACTGTTGTAAATCGAGGACTTCCTGTACTGTAATGGGCAGGCTCCATTCTGATTATAAGACAAGGACTGCCTGTATATGATCACACATGACACCACTTGCTTTTGCCAAAAGTAAGTCTGTTTCTTTCACTAAAGAGACAGCAGAAACCCTTAGAATTAAGTTTTAAACACTTTACATACCAACTGTACTATTAAATTCAGATGCAAATGTCACCAAGAGTGTAAAGAAACCATTAAATAGTATCCCTATGGTAGGTCTTTAACTTTGCTGTTAAACAGTAAGAAAGAAATAATCTATAATATCCCTCAAAGATTTCCTTCATCTTTTTACAAAGTGTGTAAATGCTTATTTACAATGTTTGTATACATTGTATACAAACCCATCTTATACTGAAAATTGGTATCACAAGGAACTTGCTGCAACTGCCTTGATTTATATAGAAAATAAAATCAGGCCACCTTGTTTTAAAAATATGGTATTTAAGATTAACTGTATGGTACCTGAATAATATGAGTTAGTATCAGCTCTCCAAGGTAAGCCAGGTTAGAAAACAAACACCATATGAATCTCTGGAGTTCTCCTTTCCTATTAAGAGTATAATAATAGAAATTTGAAAGCCTGTCAAAAATGCTGCCTTCCCCCTAGTATACCAAAGAGAATCAAGGCAGAGCAATCTTGAGCTTCTTTCTCAATCCGTCCTTCGTTTCAGGGCTAAGCTGGTGTTTACCTGAAAAATTCCTTCTACAAGGCCATCTCCTAAGAGCATTAGCAGTGCCTTGCTGTGCCATTTTTTCCAGCAGTTTGTTCTCAAAGAAGCAGGCTAACTGCACAAGGAAGTCCACCTCTCTCCCAGTAGATGGCCTTCAGAGGCAGCTATCCTGCCATCAAGCCTAATAGCCGTTGATGCCCATGGCTTCTATGAATTGATCTAACCCTTTTTGGAAGCCAGCCAGGTTGGTTCCCAGCTCCAGATCTCAGGGTAGCAAATATTGAAGTTTAATTATGTGTTGTGTAACCATATTAAACCTTTGGTGTCTCCTGATTCTTTCATGCTCCTCCAAAGATCATATTTTTCAACTTACAAAATAACCCACAGATACCAACACCAATCATTAAAGACTATCTTTTTATTTTTTCAATATTTGGCCAAACAGCAGTTATTAAATTCTGACTTAAAACAAATTACAGAGCCAATTCTGGACACAACTGTATTTTCTGTGTGGTCATCTCTGAAATGATTTCCAGCCAAAAGGAGGAATCTTGGAGACAAGTCCACTATAAGAACTGAACGTAGACAGGTCCTTAACTTTCTTCTATTGTGTCTACCTCAACTATATATGTATACTTTGTAAAACCAGGCATGTTCATCCAAATATGCTGGATATATTGGGTGAGACATTTGTGAGTTGTAGTTCCCAAAGACAACAGGGACATTTCTTCAGATACAAATCCTCCACACCTTACACCTCTAAGTTTTAGTTCAGTGGTGAAAGAGATCTGTATCCTATTCTGGCACACCTTTAATTTCTAGTCTCAAATTCTTTTCACATCTGAGGCATAGGGGACTGGAGACTAAAACATGTGAAGAACAGTTGCAGGAATTGTGTATGTCTAGTCTATTGAAAATAAGGACTAGGGGAGACACAGTAGCAGTGTTCCAATATCTCAGGGGTTGCCACAAAGATGAAGGGGTCAACTTATTTTTCAAAGCACCAGAGGGCAAGACAATAAACAATGGATGGAAACTAATCAAGGAGAGAAGCAACCTAGAACTAAAGAGAAACTCCCTAACAATGAGGACAATTAACCAGTGGAACAGCTTGCCTTCAGAAGTTGTGGGTGTTCCATCACTAGAGGTTTTAAAAAAGAGAACAGCCATTTTGTGCAGAATGGTATAGGGTTTCCTGCTCAAGCAAGGAATTGGACTAGAAGACTTCCAAGATCCCTTCCAACTCTGTTATATTATGTTTTATGTTCTATGGAAAGGATTGGTTGTACATAGCTGCTCCAAATTGCATTCCACATTTCCTGCACTTCTTTAATGCACCATATGAGGGCACTCAAATCCCAGAGCAAGACACCCTGGCCTAAGGAGATATTACCATTGTGCTGCATTGCCTTGTTTTTATCTGCTGGAGAGGTGGGGCACACTATTTTTACTTAACCCACTTTTTTTTAGAGAGAGTGTGTGAGAAAA